CGCTCCGGACAGCCAGGAGTGGAAACAGAAGCTTGCAGAAGGCCTCACTCATCTCGAAACCGTTTGTGATTCGTACAACAACCAAGTGAAGGAAGGCCTGATCTTCTTGCACGAGCACCTGGCCTCTGCTGCAATTTTGGACCTTTGGATGGTCCAGGAGATCATTGGCATGGAGGGCGTTCACACCGTCCCTGGAGATCAGTGCCCCTATGGCCTATGGTCTGTTGACCCGTACGGGATGGCTCTCGTCAAGAGGGCTACCAGACGACTCACGAATTCTGCGGCCATCACACGTGCCGTCGGCAGCCAATGCACGAACCGAGGCTGCCTGGACGGCGCGCGGAGCATGGCACTGCCAGTTGATCGAAAACCTCAAGACCTGGAGGGGTAAGGAACGCTACCCCCTCAATCTCGTGAATACGATCCTCAAGGCGTTACGGGAGCAGCTACACGCTAAGCACGTGTTGTTCTCATTCGAGGCGGGCGCTCATGTTGATGAGCCCGACGCTTGGGACATTCACCCAGAGTGGTACGGCCACGTCGTCGACGCTGTGACTGGTGTGAAGTTGGACGCAAAGCTTGTGTCCCAGGCCCACGGTGAGGAGATGGACTTCCTCAGCGGCCTGGGCGCGTACTCCTACGACACCGTCGTCAGGTGCATCGAGAAGACAGGGCGACGCCCCATACCCACTGCATGGGCCGACGTCAACAAAAATCAACCCGACGCACCGCAAGAGCGAAGCCGGCTCGTGGTGAAGGAAACGAGGTACCACACAAACCTCGACACGAGCGGCGGCAGCAGCTTCAGCCAGAGACCGCCCTACGAGGCGTTGCGGATGCTGTGTAGCTGCCAAATGACACCCCTCAACCAGATGGATGTCGACTACGTCATCATTTCCATCCACATTACCCGTGCACATCCTCATTGTAAGATGCGCCGCAAAGTCTGGGTGGTGTTGCCGCCAGAGGACCCCAAGGCGGCGGAACCTGGCGTATGTGGACTCCTGGAGCGGAGTCTGTACTATCGTTCGAGCTGCTCGTCCGCGAGACCATGAAGGCTCTCGGCTTCAAGACCGGTCTGTGGTGCGGCGTGGTGTTCTTCCAGGATCCTGGCGTACGTGTACGGGGACAACTTCGTGGCACGGGGATCTCGCGCAGAGGTCCGATGGTTTTACGAATCACTATCTGTCCACATGTGGGCCAAGGTGGAGAGCAATCTCGGCCCAAGTCCATCGAGAGGCGACTCCCTGGAGGTCGTCTGCCTCAACCAGGTGTTCCGGTACGAGTGGTATGTCAGAGCAGCCAGGAACGAACCTGAGCGCATCGAAATTGAAGCGGATGGAGATCCTGCTCCACCAAGCCGGCCTTTCCGCGGGGCGCAGCACGCCCCTCTGCATTCCGGGCGTGGCGGCGAAGGACGTGGACGTCGGGAAGCCGCTGGGCGCTGAGGCGGCGACATTGTTCAGGAGCATGACGATGAGGGTGCAGTATCTCAGCGAGGACCGCCCCGACATTCGCTTCGCCTGCAAGGAGATTGCACACTTCATGGCGAAACCCTGTGAGCTGGGAGCGAAGATGCTCAATTGTCTGTGTCGCTATCTGTTGGGAGTCCCGCGACTCGTCCAGCCCATGGAGCGGCAAGAAGTGCCGACGTACATGGACGGCATCTCGGATGCAGATTTCGCCGGCTGTGCCAGGACGCGGAAGAGCACGAGCTGCCACGCGATCAAGATGGACCCCATACGATTCGCTTTGCGCGTGCCACGCAGAGTGATCGCACAGAGCAGCGGGGAGAGCGAGTACTGTTCCCTCATGCGGTGCGCTTCGGCACTCATCGGCATGGGCAGCTTGGTGCGCGACCTCGGACGCGAGTTGCCCCTGCGTCTCCTGGGAGACACGACCGCCGCGAGCGGCATGAATCGCAGGCGAGGTGCTGGGCGAGTACGTCACATCGAAATTGGGACGTTGTGGCTCCAGCAGATGGTTCTCAGCTGGAGGCCCGGCAAGGAGAACGAGGCAGACCTCGGCACCAAGCACCTGGCTCAACGCGAGCTGTGGGAGTGCTTGGCACGTCTTGGCTTCGTCGCCACGGGCGGCCGCTCAGAGAAGTCCCCGCGTGCCTCCGTCGCGCACTTGGGCCTCAAGCTGGAGGCGGGGGAGAGGTGAGCTACGGCCACGGCGGCGACGGCATCAGCGGGCGCGCGCGCGGGTTGCGCGGGCAGCTCCGCCTCCACGTGCGGCCCGGCGGACGCAAGCAGACGGGAAGCCCTGAGAGCGCCGTTGGTGCACCCTCACGGCTTGGAGGGCTGATGAAGTATGCCTGCGTGCCGCGCGTATGCACTAACATTATTTGATTATCTGCGGGCCTTCTTGGGCTCAAATGCGACGCGAAAATAAAAACATGTCCATCTCATAACCCACAAAATTGTGAAGATGTCTCGGGTGAAACTGCCTGGAACACCTCCGGTCAGAGCACCTCTGAGCCCAGAGTTGCGAGGACGTCTCAGGCGAAACTTGCCAGACAGCTTCGTGTTTGGTAAGCCCAAAATATGGAGGGAGTCTCATGCAAAACAGGCCGGACCACCTCAGGCCAGAGTATATCGGAGTCCAGGATGTCGTAAGGATGTCGCAAGGATGTCTCCTGCAAAACTGCCTGTACAAACTCGTGCGCAGTATCTCGGAGCCCAGGGGCCCAGAGTTCCAGAGTTGCGAGAATATCCCAGGCAAAACTAACTGGACAACCTCGCACACGGCATCTCGGAGCCTAGAGTTGCGACGTCGTCGCAAGCGAAGCTGGCCAGACCACCTTTCGCGCGGCATCTCTGAATCCAGAGTTGCGAGGATGTCTCAGGCGAAATAGGCTGAATAGCATCGTGCGCGGCATGTCGCAGACGAACCTGGCTGGACCACCGCAAGTCAAACATTTTCGAGGATCCCTCTTGCAGAACGGGCTGGAGCACCTCGCTTGCACCATCTTTGAGCCCAGAGCAGCGAGGACGTTTCAAGCTTTCGAAACTGGCCGCGCCAACTCTCGCGCAGCATTTGACGATACTTCCGAAAGAAAACGGCCCGCACCACCCCTAGTTAGGGTATATCGGAACCCAGGAGGACGTCTCAAGCGACACTGGCTTGAAAACGTCGCGAGCGGCATCTGTGATACCATAATTGCGGAGATGTCTCACGCGACGTTGGCTGGGCCACCCCTGGTCATGGCATACCAGAGTTGCGACGATATCTTACGCAAAACTGGCTGAACAAACTTGCGCGCGTCATCTCGGAACCGAAAGAGGCGAGGAATGCTTCAGGCGGACGTGGCTGGACAATCTCACACGCAACATCCAGGAACCTAAAATTGCGAGGATGTCGCAGGCAGAACTTGCAAGACCACCTCTCGCGCGACTTCTCTAAACCCAGAGCTGCGACGGGCCGTGTGCGCCGTAGCGCGCGCGCCGCCGCCGAAGCAACAGCCGCCGCCATCACCGTTATCGTCGTCGTGGTGGTCTGTCGCCTCTTCCTCCCCCTCCTCCTCCTCCTCCTCCTCCTCCTCCTCCTCCTCCTTTTCCTCCTCCTCCACATCCAGCCCCTCCTCGCCCTCATTCCTTGTCCTTTTCCGTCGGAACTGGGCGGGAGGGAAAAGAGGAGAAAAGGGGGGAGAGACACGAGGGGGGAGATCGCTGGTGTGATTGCGTCGAAAATCAATGCGGAATGGCGGTCGCTGAAAACTCCACGTGCCAGTGAGATCTCGTGCGGCGTGATCGTGGCCACTGTGGCTGCGGCCCCCGAACTCGCTCCCACGCGGGCGCGCCATTATGACTGCTGCGCCGGCGGTCCCCCGACGGGTTCCCGTGATAGGCAACTCGCACGCGGCGCGCATTGGTGTTCCTCATGGTATCGGTGCCTGGATCACCTCCTGCAAGACGCTCGCATGCGGCACAACGTGGTGATCTTCGGAACGGTGGTCTCTGACATGTTTCCCGCGCGACTTGGCACTCACGCCGCTCACCATGCGAAATTGGTCGCGACGGTCGTCGATGCTTCTCCCGCGCGATGATGAGGAAGGTCGTCAATAGGAAAACGACGACGACGACGACGACGGGGGGGTAAGGAAGTAGAGGCTGGACAACCCTTGGACAACCCCCTGGACCCCCCTGTTTTCCTGTCAATGGTTCGGTCCCCTCCTCTGGTCCGCTCTGCTTCTTCACATCCACGCGGTCTTACGAGTTGCTAATGTTAGTTTCTCGTCTGCGCTCGTATTCCTCGCGCGCTCCTTCGTCCTCATCCACTTTCATCTTCGCGTCGGTCGCGCGCGGCCCCGCCCACTTCGCGCGCAAGCGCCCCCCCCCGCAAACGACACTTGAAAACAACGTGTCCATTGCAACCCACACCAAAACGTCCGACGCGACACGGCCACGAGCGGATGTTGCAAAACGGTGTTGGGGGAGCAGCGAAAGGGCTGCATTGCGGCCAGCCGTCCAAGGATCCGCCTGGATCTCTTTGCGCGAAATCTGGGTCCCAACAGGCTATCCGTAAATTAATGGCGACCAACTCGTTCATGCGCGCAGCCCCCAGAACTACATCCTGGAGCGCGCAAGCTGCGCTTTGACCGCTGGCCTGGCAGGGGCCCCGGCGCGCAATCCCACGCTCCACTTCCCGCGGGTCTGCGGTCTGCGGCCTGTCGACTGGGGGCCAGCGATGGCGCGCGCGAGAAACTTCTCGGCAAGCGTAATAGACGCGAATGGCCCCCCCGAACAATCCAAATTCTTTTTTTGGTTTTGGATGTGACAAGCGGGCAAGGGGCGCAACGCGCTACCGCGGGCGCCTCGCAAGGCGCCGGTCAATCAGGGGCTAGCGGGAGCTGCGCGCGACTCTGCGCAACGAGACGTGCAAAGTCAGCCGCGCTACCCTCGCCGAAACGTCAATCATCGCAAGGCGCCGGTCAATCAGGGGCCAGCGGGAGCTGCGCGCAACTCTGCGCAACGAGACGCGCAAAATCAGCCGCGCTACCCCCGCCGAAGCGCAAGCCACCTAGTGCCAGTCGGCATGTCCTTCGTGGAATGACAGAATGCACGCGCGACCGCCATCCTCGCGATCGAGTCCAGCGCGCTGCTCTCGAGGAGGTCGGTCGTCGCACTGGGGGGTCCGCAATGGCCCGGGAGTCCACGGAGCAATGTGGAATGACGCCGGCGCCTTGGGCGCGTTGGGTCACGCTGGACCGCTGGACCTCGTCTGGGGGCGTCGCGTTCCAGGCGGTAGCTTCTCGCCCCCGACCAGTGCGCGCGCCCCCTGCGACGTCGCCCAGCCCTGCGCCGGCGCCTGCGTGATGGGCCAGGCGCGCGATCTAGGAATGGGAATCCAACGCGGGACGCGTCCGAAATCAGCGGCTCTCCAGATCTGCGGGTGCGCGTTCGAGTCCGAGCATGCCGCGTCGCTGCTCGCAACCATCATGCGCGGCGGCCCCACGCGCGGGCCCCCCAGTATGCGCGGCAGATTTGCCGGCCGCGGCCCAACGGCGCCGATCGCGACGAGCAGCTGCAAATCCAGCGCATTTGCGCCCTGCGCAGCCAGGCGCCTGCGCCGACCGTCATGAAGAGAGAGCCCCTGCATTCTGCGGCCGGAAGAGGTGGTCTCCGCGCGCGCCTGTGCGAGTCGCGTGCAATCAATATGTCTCCGCAGCGAGGCTGCGTGCCACCATCGTCGATGTCGCGATTCTCCGGCAGCAGTCTGGGCAACCGCTGCGAGGTTCATGGCTGGGGCCAGCTCTGCAGCCGATCCCGGGCGTGCTCCGCAGTCGCGCGCGGGTCGCCAGGATCTCCGCGCGGATGACCGCGAGGAGCGCCCCCTCGCGGCGCAGGGGGCCGCGCCGCCAGCCGCCCGCGGATGGTGCTCGCCACGGTGTCCTCGTAGAGGCGCCCCTGCAGGGCGCGAGGGCGGGCTTTCCATGGGGCCCGCTGCGCCGCGCGGCGGTTCTTGCCGGTGTCTCCAGCGAGCGGCATCGCCACTTTACCTTCCTGGCCGCGTGGCGGCGGGCAGCGCGGGGGCGGCGTCGAGCGCGCTGCGCCGTGCCCGGGGCGCGCGTCAATATCGCGAACGGCGGCCTTCGGCCGAAGGCGAACGAGATGCTCTCGGTCACTCTCGCGACGCGCTGTGCGATCGCGGCGTTGTCCCTCCAGCAGCCAGCGCGCAATTTTCCCGCCGCTGCTCGCGCGATTGACGGGCGGTCGCTCGCGGCGCCACTTGAGCTGCGAACGGAAGAAGTTCACTGTGCTCGCGGTAGGCGAAGAACCTCGACGCCGCGCGGGGCGGCCAGCCTCCCCCGCAGGCGCGTCGCGAAGACGTCGGGGAGCGATGCCCGAGGGGTGGCGCGAGAGTCCTCGCGCGCCGCGCGGGCATTCTCGCCCAGCGGCGAAATTTCATGAACGCGAACCAACAGGAGCGCGCCGAGCAGGCGGCCGCCGCCGCGTTGCACTGGTTGGAGCTGGGCTGCAGCGGGGCGCGCGACTCGGCGAGCCGCCCGGCTCGGTCCCGCCGCTTGACCGAGGGGCCTCTCAGCTTGTCGGTAGGCCCGATGAAGCCCCCCAATGAGTGCGCCGTGGGGCGCGTCGCGGCCGGCGGATGACGGCCGAGGTCGCGCGCGCCTCTGTGGCCAGCGGCGGCGTGGGCAATGTCCAAGCAGGGGCGAGGATGCGCTTCTTGACGCGCAGGCATCTGATTAACGGGTCGACAACCAACGCCCAGGATCGCGCCGCAGAGCGGGCCGCCCCGCGCGACCCCCAAAGCGGCGCGCGCCGGCGGGCGACGCGCGCCACCGCGCTCCTGGAAGGAGAGGGGCACGAAGCAAAAAGCCTGCCGCAGCCAAAATGTGGGTCCACATGCGCCCCGGCACTGGGCCCATCACACCTACTGATGGCGCGAGCTGGGGCATGCCGCTGTGATTTCCACGCCCACAATGGCAGGGGCGGGTGCCGACGGGCTGCGCGCGATGCTGAGGCGACGGGCCTCAGCGTCAACGCTGGCGATGCTGGAGAGGAGCCGCCGCCCGTCGAGCCTGGCTGCCCGGGCGCAGTCTCCGCCGCCATCGCGTCGAAGGCCCTTCGCGCCGCCTGAACTCGCGAATTGACGTCGGTACTTCTCAACGAGGCGATCGGGGGCGCGAGGGCGATCGAAATTCCCGGCTGGCTCGGCCTCCTCGGGCGACGTCGTCACGAATCGCATTCGCGGTCGAGTGGCGCGCGCGAACGCAGGCGATGGCGCGGGCCTCTCGGCGGGCACTTGGACTGCCCAGTCCGGGGCCGCGCCGCGCATGGAATGCCGCCGGGCCAAGCGCCGCGCCGCCAACCTGCGTCGCAAGCCGCCGGAAGTCCATCGGCCGCGGGCGTCGGCGGCTCTCGCGAGTAGCGTCGCGGGTAGATCCACTTCATGCGGTCAGTGATCCTGCGATCCTCGATCTCCATGGCCGCGGAGATGGGCTACCAATTATCTACATCGCGCAGCGCGCGTCGGAAAACAAATCTGGCTGACACCAGCCGCCGTGCGAACGGTTGCAAAAGCGCGCGTTCCCACCCATCCAATCGAGGACGGCGTCGCAGTCGCCCCCCCGGCCCGCGGCGCGCGGCGCGCCCGCCGGGACCTCGCGGCCGCCATCGCGCGGCGCTCGTCGCCGACAAGGGCGCGGACTACATCGGCCACTGCATGGGCGCCCATCGCGTCGAAGGCTGACGCCGCGTCGACTGTGGCCCGCCAGAGATGGGCGCCGTTGACCCAGCGCGCTGCGGCGGAGACTGACAGCTTGAAGTCCCGGCGCCGCGCCGCCCTGGCGTTGCTTCCAGGCAATTCCGCGCCGATCCCCCCGGAAACTGCGCCGGGCGGGCCGGCGAAGCCGCGGGGGTCGATCGCCGTCGCGGCGCGGCGGGCGGGTCGAGCGGCCGCCGCCGCCCCCCGCTTGCATCGGCGTCGATTTGCGACGCGTCCGCGGCATCGAGCACCCGCTGAGAGGCGTGCTGAAAGTGCGCCGAATCGAAGAAGGCTGGGATGCCGAACTTCTCCGCGGGCCGCTGCTTGCGGGGGCGCGTCCGAAGGCAGGGCGCCGCGCGGTCGCTGGCCGCCTCGTTCGGCAATTCCCGCGGCGTGGCGTCGGCCGCCAATGCCAATTCCATGCGAAGCGCGTCGCGGGGTGGCCCCAACGCAGCGTCGACCCATCGGCGGCTCTGCCCCGCTGGCCTCGCAGCGCTGGGCGGTAAACAGCGGCGCATCTCGACGGCCCCCTTGAACTGTATGATTTCCATGGGGCAGACTTGCGCCAGTAACGCTGCGCCGCGGTCGTGGCTGCGTTCGCCGGCGTGGCCGGGCTCTCGGGCGGCGCGCCCGCGACGCTGAAATCCGCGAGCAAGGGGGGGCGCGGTGCGTCGCCAGCATGTGAGCACGCACCTCAAGAAGCGGCCGTAGCCGACGCAGGGCCGCTGGATGCCCTGCTGGCGGCCCGCGCTCGCGATCGTTCAAAGTCGCGGCGTCGCGTCGCGGCGAATGGGTGGCCGCCCTAGTCCAGCCCCCCTGGCCATTGGCGAATTCCTCAGGCCGCCGCGGCGGGCATCGCTCTGGCGGGTGGCATAGTCCAGCCGCGTCGCGCGGCATCAATGACCCAATGCCGCCAGCGGGCGTCAAATCGGTCGCCTAGGACACGGCGGGGTGTCAGCGCGCTCCGTGGATTCGCTGGCGCGGCGGGGCCCGCCACGTAGCTGCGAGTCTCCCGCAGAGCGACGGCCCCGCGCGAACGACAGGAGGGTCGGACGCTCTCGCGCTTCTCACGACGGCGCCGATGAGATCGCCCGGGCACGGCCCGGGCGCGCAACCTCGCGACCTCCCCGCGCGCGCCGTAGACGCCGAGAAGACTTGCGCTCGGCTGCGACCACGGCGCTGCTGACTCTATAGTCGGCGAAGAGACCGACGGCCCCGCGCCAATTTTGCCCTGCAAATGCGCGGCGAAGCCCGGGGGGGCGGCCGCCGGGGGCCGCTGCGCGCGACGCGCGACGTCCGTGGCGATGTCGATGCGCTGCCTGGCCAAGGCCCCCACGCCGTGCGACGTCTGCCCGGGGGCCCGCGCGCGCGGCCGATGGCGCTCGGTGCGAGTTTGGCCGCGATTGCCGCAATCTGCTGGGGCCGCGACCCCCGCCGCGCCAGCTCGGGCGACGTGGCGGCGCGCGCGGCAAGGGGGGGGGGCCGCGCAGCTCACTCGCCCTCGCCGGCTCGGGTCGAGAAGCTCCTTCCAGACCCCGCCTCGAGGATGCCGCTGCGCCCGCGGCCTCGCCGCCAGGTCGCAGCCCGCGAGGGCGATGGGAAGGGCGGGGGGCGACCGGCTTTGCGGGTCGTCGACCGCATTTCGCGCGTCAGCGGCAAGCGGCCCGGGCCGCCGCCCACTCGTCGCCGGCGAAAAGCTTCGAAGGACGACGGGGGGGCAGGGCAACGAGAAACGCGCGAAACCATGGATGCGTCTTCGCGGCCGCGGCGTCGACTGAAGCCCTTCCTCCCATCTCCGCTGCGGGCGGCGGCGGGCGACTTGTTCCGACGGCGGGGCTCGCCCGCGGAAGGCGCTGCATCGCGCCGGCACCGGGGTCGGCCCCTCGCGCGCAAGTGCAGGGGGGGTCCGCGGCCAGGCCAATCGGCACTTGGATCGCGCAGGAGCTCGTCGCGGGCGCGTCGCGCAGCTCGCGCGCAGTCGCGGGTCGCCCCTCGCGTCGCCGAGCTGCCGCCGGTGACCGGCGGGTCTGCTGCGACGACGCGCGCGCGGCATTCTCGAGCGCCAGAATTGCTCGACTGGAAATGTTTTCGAGCTGCCGATGCAACCTTGCGTTCCAGGCTCGCCCTAGCTTCCCAGCTTCCTACCCCTCTCATGCTTGAACCACTTGACGTCCGCCAATCAAGCTGAAGCCGCGCGAACGACAGTTTTCCGCTCCCCGGTTCGCGCGGCATTACCAGGGCGCGCGCTGATGGAAAGCAGCCCGGCCAAAATTTGTGGGCCCAGCAAGACTGAATAAACTTCATGCGGCGTAAATCCGATGGTAATGATTCTTATCGTCGGATGTCAGCGGGTCAAATGGGAACTGCTGCGGTACCGAGTGCGTCGAACTGCTCCCGAAACGTGCCAAAGACTCCGCACGTCGCGCCTTTCAGACTTGATAGCGTCATTTCCACGCGTTGAAACCTTGGCTGAGACTGTCGCGTGGTGTCTTATGGGAGGGGACCACAGGGACATTCAGAGGTCAGACCCTACGTGGTGAAATCCGATGGACAATGTCTGCATGAGGTGAGAGCCGCCAAGACATCTGGATTTTTCCGCCCGACAGGGCCAACTCGCTCCAAAAAGCAACCAAAGGATGTGCAATCGGGCTGCTGAAATAAAGAAAGCTGGATAAGGAACGAAACCCCGTTTGGGCCCCACGGGCGTGCGCGCAGACGAGGAACGCTAGAGAAACAGCCATGAAGGACGTAGGGAGCACCCCGCATTTTCTGAACCCAAACTGATCCTTCTTCCAAAACCCATGCTGTAAGCGCAATCGATGTTAATTAAGATGTTGCCAGCGAGGGCGATTCTAGAGCGCATTCACAGCTTTCTCGGCATTGCTGGGAATGCCTGCCACGTAGCACGCCGCCTCTTCTATGCCCCACCCCTTTGTAACCACCTCCGCCGCCTGCGTGTTGGCATTCGTTTTTAACGGTTTCCGCACGTTTCTCATTACTGAGATTGACCCAACGGCTCTTCTTCACGTATAAATGTGACACGTGTGACCACTGGGATGAGAAACGAAATCGGGTTTCACGATGTTGCGTCTGTCAAGTCCGAATGCGGTCATTCAGCATCGTGTGGGGTCAACTTGGATTGCGCGGCCGATAAGTTACAACGACGTCTTCGACGCATACGCCACTGTATCTCCATATGTGCCCGCGTTCTCTGCAACATTCTTGGTGGATGCGAAGGTGTAAAAATGCCCCGATACACACACCAGTACCAACGCAACATCGAAACTCGCTCAGCTAATCCGGGATATTCTGCACCACGGCGCAGCAGACGATACGTTCAACATGATAAGCCACATATTTTCTTACATGCCTAATCTATGTGTCAGCTGGCACGCTGCGCGATTCCATGCTGTGATGACTTCGGGTCTAAATTTCGTTTCGCGTGTAGCGCCACACACATGGATGGCCAACTACGTCCACGAGCGAGCCAATGTATTCACTCTGGCAATGCGTCGTGGAACCCGTGCCGATTCAAATAACGCACCATTCTGGTCCATAGGTTCTGCCGGTTCCTCGCGTTGGACACGCTGCAGCTGCCTAATCAACCACTTATTTTATATCGTCAACCCCCCAACCTCGTTTGTTTTTGGGAAGCATTGACGACCGTCACCTGCAACGAGGCGCCCTATGCCTGAACACATTACGAACTCACGGCTCTTGAAATCACACCTCAACCTCGTGCCTGCTAGGCCCAAGGGGACGTCAGAACATTCACCTTCAAGGTGTTATGCTGCATGCGCTGCGTTGGTCATCTCCGCGGGAGCGTCGCTACACACAGGGCTGCGCGCACGTCGTATCGGAAATGACCGACGCTCATGGGCAACATGATGCGCGGAGGAACTCGTATGCGCATCGGCTGCGCTCAACGCTGACCGCGCTGGCAACATGCCTCCAACAACTGTGTGACGGCGGCGATGGTCCCTGGAACGTCAACGCAGAGGGTCGTACCCAAAATGTTCACGTGGCCAAGCTTCCCTAACCACTATACTCCAAACGCCAACATGTTGGACAACTTTGCGTCGGACGGGCGCCACCGCAGGCATGGGTAGAGTGCTCGACTGTGCCAGTCAACTCTTGAGTCTTCTAAGTGAAGTAATTCAAATAGATCGGCCATGGCGCATTATCCAGACGGGGCATACTCTGCTTCGAGTCCTCCACTTCCTCTTCTTTCGCGTTCCTCCTCCCTCCCGCCTCTCTTGCCTCCCTCCCTCTCCGTTCCCCTTTGCTTTCCTGTGCCCTCCCGCTCCCTCTCCTCCCCACCCTTCCCTCACGTGCAACAAACATGGGAACCACTCAGTGGCTGAATGAAATGGTTGCTCAAACACGTCAACGGTTTTGAATTCGCGAGCGTCGCAGGCCGCTCACCTAACCACTTGTCCCCCTTTGCCAGACATCAGCCCAGGGGACAATGTGTGTTGCTCTTCTATGGAGGTCGAATGGCACTCGGACGTCCTGTCGCCGCCAGCTTACTTCCTTCACGTCCTGGACTTCGCTGGGGATACGAAGTGCGGTGCTTCCGAACACGCAGAACGTGACAGACGTAGAACACCGATTGCGCCTTCTGGAACATACTCGGAGATGAAGGAACGACGAAGAAAAACAGATGCAGTGAAAGACCATATGTGCTCCCTTGGGCGCCTGAAGCCCCTGCAGGCTCACGACAAATCCAAAGGGGCGGGCTGTTTCAAGGCGACGGAAGCCCGTTGATGGTTGCGAATACCCCAGAAGCTAGGAGACCCCTGGGAGCCCTCAGGTGCTCTATGAGCCCGGCAGATGTCCCCATGGAAAAAGCACAGGAGCCGCTTGAAGGCCCCTCGCATGCTGGCCCCCACCAAGCGGGTGGGAAATCTTGCCGAGACTCTTCCGACACCGAATCGACCGATGTCGCGCGCAGACATCGGCACACACTTTGCATCGATCGAGTCGTAAACGGCCCTGGGCTCTGCGAATATGCGCCTTACATGGTGCCATGGATTTGGTCGACCGGCCAACTGTCCTTGCCCTGCAACCGCGCAAAGCGCGCCGCGAACTCCGCCTTCGTCAGCGAGAAGGCGTGACCAAGGTGGAGGCGCCCGTTCATGTACGGGTAAGGGAAAGTGACCTTCGAAGCACCCCACGATCCACGCTGATCCACGGCGTGTCTCGAATCCTGATCCCCTGTCCCGAACCACTCCGTAGCTCGGAACACCCTGCTCATCGAAAGTCTGAACGACCAGCCTGATCACGATCGACCGCTGGACGGGCCAGATCAGCGACCTGATCGATCGCTGATCGACAGATGCAAGTCTTCTCGGGGCCGACGAAAGAAGGGAAAAGCAAAGGGGGGGTCGCGAATCAGCTGCGTACAGATCGGTTTTTTGGCGCACCCTGGCGCTGGAGTCGGCCATGTATGGTCCAGGGTCTGGCCCCTCCCCCTTCATTCTGATGCCATCGGGCCCCCACACCCCCCGCGCGATGGCCCCACCTCCCCTGTGGGTGTGGTGTGGTGCTGTGGGTGTGGCGTGTGTGGCGTGGTACTTAGGTGCTCCAGGAGAGCTCCGGAAGTCGTCGTTTTCGTCGCCGCCACCGTCGTCGTCGTCGGAGGGCTCCGGAGGTCGGCGGCGGCGGCGGCGGCGGCGCCGCCGCCGCCGTCGTCGTCGTCGCCGTCGTCGTCGTCGTCGTCGTCGTCGTCGCCGTCGTCGTCGTCGCCGTCGCCGTCGTCGTCGTCGTCGTCGTCGTCGTCGTCGTCGAGTCGTCGCCGTCGTCGTCGTCGTCGTCGTCGTCGTCGCCGTCACCGCCGTCGTCGTCGTTGTCGTCGTCGTCGTCGCCGTAGTCGTCGTCGTCGTCACCGTCGTCGTCGTCGTCGTCGCCGTCGCCGCCGTCGTCGTCGTCGCCGTCGTCGTCGTCGTCGTGCTCTTCGTCGTCGTCTTCGTCGCCATCACCGTCGTCGTCGTCCCCGTCGTCGTCGTCGTCGTCGCCGTCGTCGTCGTCGTCGTCGCCGTCGTCGTCGTCGTCGTCGCCGTCGCCGTCGCCGTCGTCGCCGTCGTCGTCGTCGTCGTCGTCGTCGTCGTCGTCGTCATCGTCGGCGTCGTCGTCGTCGTCGCCGTAGTCGTCGTCGTCGTCGTCGTCACCGTCGTCGTCGTCGTCGCCGTCGCCGCCGCCGTCGTCGTCGTCGTCGTCGTCGTCGTCGTCGTCGTCGTCGTCGCCCCCCCCATCCCATCAGGGGGGGGGTCGAAGGACCCTGAGACCCATCCCATCTGGGGGGGGGGGGGTCGTGGGCCCAGAGCCCGGGATCATGGTATCGAGGAATGTGCTCCGCGGCGGGGCCAATACCAGCTGCATGCGGCAATCGTCGTTCCCCCCCCCCTCTCCCAATGCTCCCCTTTCGTCTGCCTCCTGGTCTTCTCAGGAGGCGGCAAAGAACTTCTCCCTCGTCTGGTCCCCTTCCGGAGCGTCAACCTCGTATGCCTTCCTCTCCTCCCACAGTTGGCGAACCTCGTCCTCGGAGCGAAGGGCGGGCAGAGGAGGGGAGGGGGGTTCTAATTCAAATTCATGGAGCAACCGCCATCGCAGGGCCCACCGAGGTGCCTGACTGTGCTGGAGACACGCCTGCGCTATCACTCCGACTTGTCACGGCATCTTCGATCGACAGGCTTGCCCTCCGCTCGCGTCCGCGCCACGCGAAAGGCGGGGGAAAGAAGGGAGGCGGGGGAAAGCGAGAGGCAAGAAAGAGGGTGGGGGGGGGAATGACCGTCCTCTTCGGAGTGTGTGGCCGCCCTCCCCCACGCCATGGCATTTTGGTGTGCACTCGATCAGGCGCAGCGCGTCTGCACTGGTGCCACTCGGGCAAAGGGAGGTGGGGTGGACCGCACTTCCTGAATGGCGAGCTAGACTGTCCACCCTCCCCCCCTCCGCGTGGCCTCTAGCACCTTCGGCGATGGCTGCCCGATTCGTGAGTCCACCCGCCTCCCGCTCCTGCCCATCCGTTGGCTGCTGGGTCCTCGATCTCCAGCAGCTGGTCCCTGCTCGGGCGGCACACAATCGCGATGCTTGGTCGCTTCGCAGCAGCAACTTCGAGTCGCGCGGGCACGACAGAGCCCACTGACTCCTCCTCCTCCGCATTTTCCTGCTCTGTGTTCCTTCGTTCCCTCGTCATTGTCGCGTCCTCTCTCCGTCTTCCCTTCTGCCTTGTCTCTCCAACTCCCGCTTCGCCCGAAAGACGGCTCTCAGGAGGGCGCGAGGGTCTGACGCGAGGGTCTGGCACCAAGAGAAAGCCAAGCGCTTCCTTGCACCAGAGGCTCGACTGCAAAACAGCGCGGTGGATCACGTGCGCTGCCCTGGTCGCGCGCTTATAGGCAGCCCAAACGCAAGCGGCACAGGGCGGGATGGGCAGCACGCCTGGAGACCAGGGGCAGGCTCGAAGAGGGTGGAGGACAAGCAGGAGGGGCCTCTCGACACACGTGGGTTCTGACCTCTCACCATCGGCCAAACACCTCTGCGGGCCAACTTCACCGTTCTCAGGGCGTGTCTGCATGAGTCCAGGGAGAGGGAGGATAACCGGGAGGGAGAAGGAGGCGTGTGAGAGCATAGGTGCTTGAATATCGTCACGGCCAAGGTCAGCTCCGAACGGCTCCAGGATTAGAACTGGCATCATCTGAGGCTGAGAATGCGACGGCTTGTGGACAGCGGAGGGAGGAGTGGCGGCTGGCTGTTCGGTCCAGAGAGCGCGAATCTCTGGTTGCCCGTTGGTCATCACTGGGGCATGTGCCGCTGAATCGCTCGACGAGCTTCAGGTCTGCACGCGCGGATCTTCGATCGTACTGTGCGTGTGTCTGGCCTGAACCTTCGAATGATGAGGATGCTGAGATTCGACCGGGGCACGATGCTGAATGTGACCTTACGACTCTCGCTGGCCCGATTTGCACATTGGAGCCTGCTCTTTGTAACCCCGAACCCAGGCTTTCTATGCCTTGATCTGGTGATCTGTACTGCTCGCCTCGATGGGTACCCGCAACAAAACCTCTCGGGGCCCTTGCATGTGGCCGATACTCAGACGGCCTCGAAGACAATCGTACATGCCTCTTGCGATGGCATTCCTGCCCGTCTCCTGGCCCAGCGCCATGTGTGTGCATGTCTTGGGGTGGTCAAACACTCCACGCCCCCTCGGTCCGCACATCTCTTTTCCCAACCCTCCTGTGTTGGGTTTTCGTTTTGGATAGAACGCTGTGGTCGCGTCTCCTCCTCCTCCTCCTCCTCCTTCTCGCCCTCCTCCTCTCCTGCGCCCTAATTCCACACTGCCCTCTTCTTCTCCTCTCCTGCACCCTGCTTGCGCCGCAGCCCTCGCGGCTCTCTAGGGTCTCCCAACTGTTACATTTTCGTGGGCTCCTGGGAGGTCCAACGGAGCGGAGTTACACGAGGACTCAGTTGAGACCTCGCGGCTCCATGGGGGGCTACAGAATGTGAAACTGTCGCCACTTTCGCGGGGTTCCAAGATTTCGGGTGGAGCGGAGTTGCACAGGGACCCAGTTGAGACCTCGCGGCTCCCTGGGGAGACCCACTTGAGACCTCGCGGCTCCCTGGGGGGCTGCAGAATGTTAAACTGTCGCCACTTTCGCGGGCTCTTGGGATGTCGGGTGGGGCGAGTTGCACGGGGACCCAGTTGAGACCTCGCGGCTCCCTGGGGGGCTGCGAAGCGTGAGACTGTCGCCACATTCGTTGGCTCCCGGGAGGTCCAACGTAGCGGAGTTACACGCGGACCCAGTTGAGACCTCGCGGCTCCCTGGGGGGCTGCAGAATGTGAAACTGTCGCCACTGTCGCAGGCTCCTGGGAGGTCCAACGGAGCGGAGTTACACGGGGACCCAGTTGAGACCTCGCGGCTCCCTGGGGGGCTGCAGAATGCTGAATTGTCGCCACTTTCGCGGGGTCCTGGGATGTCGGGTGGAGCGGAGCTGCACGGGAACCCAGTTGAGACCTGGCGGCTCCCTGGGGGGCTGCGAAGCGTGAGACTGTCGCTACATTTGTGGAGTCTTGGGATGTTGGGCGAAGCGGAGATACACCCCAATATATAACGTTCCAGGGGGGGCATTATGAACCCCAGTCGATATTCTCGGAACATTATAGTCCAAGGTTTGTATCGAATTGAGGTCCATCCTGCTCCTCGGACGTCGCGCGGAGTAGAATGGTACGGGGGCCCAATTGAAACCTCACGGCTCCCTGGGGGGCTGCGAAGCGTGAAACTGTCGCCGCTTTCGTGGGCTTCTGGGAGGGCGCGCGGACGGGAATGGCACGAGGATTCAATTGAGACCTCGCGGATCCCCGGGGGGCCTGCGAAGCGTGAAACTGTCGCCACTTTCTTGGGCTCCTCGGAGGTCCAACGGAATGGAGTGGTACGGGGACCCAGTTGAGACCTCACAACTCTCTGAGTGGCGACGAAGCGTGAAACTAACGCCACTGTCGCAGGCTCCTGGGAGGTCCAACTGAGTGGGGGAGTGCGCACATCCAACCGAAACATTGCGGCTCCCTGGGGGGCTGCGAAGCGTGAAACTGTTGCCGCTTTCGTGGGTTCCTGGGAGGTCCAGCGAAGTGGAGTGGCACGGGGACCCAATTGAGACCTGGCGGCTCCCTGGGGGGCTTCGACATGCGAAACCGTCGCCAATTTCGCGGGCTCCTGGGAGGTCCAGAGGAGCGGAGTTACACTGGTACCCAATTGAGACCTCGCGGCTCCGTGGGGGGCTGCAGAATGTGAAACCGTCGCCACTGTCGCTGGCTCCTGGGAGGTACAGCGGAGTGGAGTGGCACGGGGGCCCAGCTGAGACCCCACAGCTCCCTGGGGGTCTGCGAAGCGTGAGACTGTCGCCACTTTTGTAGGCTCTTAGGGGGTTGTCATGCCACATTCATGTTTGACAGATTTGGGCGTTGGCTCATTTTCGGCGCTCAGGCGGTCCAAGTCGGCGCCAAAGGCCACCAAGACGGCCCCAATAGCGCCAACGAGGCTTCCAAGATGGCCCCATGTCAGCCCATGAGGTCACCACGACTGCCCCAGGATGACCCCAATACGGCCCTAGGCAGCTCCAAAGACGCCGAAGATGATCTCCAAGACG